GAGAGAGAGAGAGATTGGGATGAATCCTTATTATTGTATATGTTTTGGATGAATGATTATTGTGTTATGGGTGAACTCGTACAGTTGCAGCAGATGGGGTCTCAGCGAGGAACAGTGCAGCAATTGAGATTGGAATCATCTACAGGAATTGCAGCCCACCATGTTGGCAGTTTGGAGAGAGTGTCATCTTCTTGTTGGAGCTCTTCGGACTCAGAGTCTGTGTGATTAGGAGGGAATAATTGACCCGGAAATTTTGATAGAAAGAGGGAATGGAAAGGTGAAAATTAGAGAATGAGTTTGGCATTGGAATTCTTTGTGTTTTATGCCTTCTTGGTTTTGAGTGCACTCCTCAATTATGCATAGGAGTGCAATAAGGTGAGTGGATGTGGGTATGAATCCCGTGTTTGTACATGTTTTCGGGTATCTGTTTGCTTCAAAGATGAGGGAATTTTAGTTTTCTGTTAGTCGAGATGAATTACAATTTTGATGCTCTCACTCACTTTCATGCATTAGAGATATACGTGCCAGTCGCTAGAAACTCAACTCTTCAAATTGGGCTATGCTTTATAGAGAATGTGACGGTGAGCCAGTGTTCTCCCTGAGGAGGTCTTGAGAAGATATGGTTTTTTGTTGGACATGTGAACGGTTGCATCGTGAGTCTGATTATTGTTTGGTCGATCATGAGTCTCTTTGATGCCCTGGTAACAGCATTCAAATGTTACCTTTCCCTGCCCTTATGGGCACTTGGTGAAGTAGGCCCCCCCACATTGGTGGCAGTCACCTGTTACTGCATCACTTATAGGTCAGAACTTTTGTCTTTTATTTATTGACTTTTTCTGCCTTTTTTTTTTTTGTCATTCATCGCTAGTCCCAAAAACCGGTCCCGGTCGGTGGATTTGCATATCGGATCGGCAATTAAGTCATGAGGATTGGGTAAAAAAAACTTTAACTTTTTTTAAAATTTTATTTATTTATATATATATAAAAAGGGTGTTGTGGCCAGATCGGTCAATGACATAATCAACTGGTTCTATTAGAGGCCAATTTTTAAGTGGAACTGGTCGGTTCTCGATATATGGTGGGAATTGGAGTAGCTCATTGATTTCCTATTTGGATTGGACGATTCTGATCTGATTAGATGAGTTTTAAAACTTTGGTATTGTTAAACCCAATCTGGCATTTTAGCATTGTGCCAGCAAGGACGGTTCGAACGTTATAGTTGCACCCATGGATGATGAATGGCGTCCAAGTGGGCCTGCAACCAAAGGGCCTACTTGTAATTAGTTTTGGAGATTAATGAAAAAGATTGTCGTGAACATAAGAAAAAGAAACTAGTTCCATAATGCTTGAATGATATCGTTTCCAACATGCGCACACATGTTCAGGAAAATAATTCCAGTTTGATAAGTGTAAGTGTATCTAGATATGTATCTATAGATGGATAAATGACTAGGATGTTATTTACCTACATGCTAGTATAGACAAGCATGTCTTTCGTTATCGGGGCATGTCGGTGCACTAAAAACATTTGATACGTTAATTAAAAGTACATATTGTACTCTTTTCTGAAAAGATTGGGGATTTATGGTCTCATTGAATATATAGCTTTTAGATCATAATGGAGAATCAAGATTGATGTAGTCGATCCCATTTATTGGAAAAAGGTTAAAATATTGATGATGATACTACACTCTTTTGGGAGTATGTTTACTTTTACCCCGCCAGTCAGATAAGGATTTTTTCACTTTGGAGTTTTGGTAACTACCTTAAAATCACTAGATGATTTCAAAAAAAATTGAAATTTGAGTTTTCTAATGCTTAGATCTCACCTTCTAAAAATTGGACGGTTTCTATTCAATCTTGAGACAACATTTTTTTCAAGTGCTTAGCAATTAGGATTTTTTTAATCAAACTTGTTGAAACCTTGTGTGGAATGCACCACCATAGGTCATGATTGAGCTAAATTTTGATGGAGCTCTTTGATAATCTTGGGTCAGGCCCAGCAAGATATGGGGGTTTAAGGAGGGATCATTTGGGAAATTTTTTGCTAGCTTACTCATATCCATGTCGGCAAGCCGTAGCTAGCACAGTGGAGATGATTTCATTATTAAGAGGGTTAAGAATTATAAAAGAAAGACAACAATTATTGTAGAGGGGGATTCTATGAATGCCAAATCATTGATATAGGTGAAGGTTTCACTATCACTTTTGAGCCTGTTTATAGAGAAGCAGATGAGGAAGTTGATGAGTGGGCAAAGCAAGGCGTTGGGCATGAGGAGTTTCCAATAAAGAGTGATCTAATTTTGTTTACAATATCTGTTATGCTGATTTTATGATGTATTCTCCCCCCTCCCCTCCACACCAAAAAAAAAAAATTGAAATCTCACCTACATGCCTCTACCCCATTAACATTAATGCTACTTTCCCGCTTATATAAATGATGTTGTCATGTTTTAGTCAATTTTGAGGTCGGCATTTTTAGCAAGTGTATATATACACATTTCTATTTCTTTGTAACAATTATTTACAAAACAATTCAGAGAAACCAGGTGCATGCACTATCTAGCACCCATTGCTTTACATTATGGTTATTCTGCCCCTAGAAGAGGGTGGTCTGATTCTCGCAGGTAAACAAACTAAAGTAGGGCTTCAAGAACTTATAGGGCATGTTTCACAACAAACTAAAGTAAGACTTAAAGAACTTACAGGTCATGTTTCTTACTTGTGGAACCACCATCGAGAGAGCTTTCCCATGAGTCTGGGAAAGTTAATGGGTATGAGGCGATTTTTGCATAAAAAATTATAAAGCGCTGGGAAAGGCGGGGAAAGTGCTTTCCCAAATGCTATAATAACTTGCACTATCCTAGAAAACAAATCCCAGCTTGACACCGTGACCGCCCCACGCACACACTCTCTCAAATATCCAGAAAACAAATATGGGAAAGTGACAGAGACCTGAGAAACTAAATTGCATGGTACCATTCGAAAATAAATTATGAATGAAAAAGTAGAAAAATATTTCCCTGTAAAAGTCAAGGAGAAGTCTTTGTACGAGTAATGACATACATATCATTGGTTTGCAATTGACTCAACCAAGAAGCACAATGTTAACAGTGTCAATATCACATTTTAAGGAATGTTATCTTCAGTGGCAAGCCAGGTTCGGGGTTAGCTGGATTTAACTGCAGAGATGAAATTTGTTTGGCGATGCATATACTAGTTTCTCATACCCTAGCACTTTAAGGAACGAGCGCCCATATTGTGCTGTTGTGGGAGCGTATTTGTGCTTTTCTCTCTTGGGTGAAAAAGCTACTTTAAACTTTTTGGATCTCAAACTTTGGTATCCACTTATGATTAATTATGATATACAATGAGACAAAGAAAGATATACAATGAGACTATTTTTCTTTGGTACAAGCTGATCACAATTAATCTTGATCATTGAATGTAAAATTAGATGGATGCATTTATTCTATTGACCAAGCTCAAACTTAAAAACGAAAACAATTTGAACTTTGTGACACGTCCAAGCTATCAGATTTTATATCGGATGGTTATCAGTAATTATGACCTCCTTGGGTCAAAAGTAAATGGTCTCTTTGTATACAATCCCATCCAAAAATTGGAGTGTCTAAGTGCACTTTTGGGACGCTATTCTTCAAGCTTGTAGAGGGTGCATCTGTTTTTTTCTTCTTTCTTCTTTTTGAAGTTGGTGTCCGGGTTGAAGAGGGGTACATCCTTTTGAAGTTGGTGTCCGGGTTGAAGAGGGGTACATCCCTAGACTTTGGGGTCCTAAAAATACCCTTAGGTTATGTTTTATCAATGCAGTAAATTGACCACTGTGCAACCGCAGGAGCACAAAATCATTTTAGTTTGGTTATTACAACGTTTCCCTCCTCTTTGCAGCACCGGTCAGCGAATCACAATGGCAATGGGCAATGATAGCTTTGTTTGTTGGATCAACAGGTTGGAGAACATGAGCAATGGAGAGGCAAAGGATAGGAAGACCAATGTGCAACTGCAGGAGCACAAAATCAATTAAGTTTTGTTATTCAATCATTTTCCCTTCTTTTAGCAGCACCTATCACGTTCGCGATGGGCAATAATAGGTTATTTTGTTTGTTGGATCTAAAAAACTTGACCAATGGTCAGTAAAAGGATAAGAAAGACTCCTATTTGGCCAGTATGGACAAGTTCTCAAACCTAATGGTCCATTTAGTTGGACTACTCGGTTCGGAGATACTAGGTAATTTATTTTTTCTGTTTTTTTAGTAGTTCAGCGGTAGAAACTTGAGATATAACATGGCTTGATGCCAATTGCTAACCACTTAAGCCCATGCCTAGTTCATGATTATAGGTGACTTATGCGATACACAAAGAGACTTTCTATAGTTCGCTTGCATGTGTTTGGGTAAGTGTGCGGTATCTTGAAGATAAGAGTACCGTCGGCATTTGAAAGGATAGGCATTTAATGACTTCTTTGGATAGAATATATGACATAATAAAATTTTAAATTAATAAGGGATAAAACATACGATAAAATTATTTATTTGAAGTACAAGAAAGTCACAATCATCATCATTTAAAAGTTGATAGGTAGAAGTTTGCCTTTCACAATGCTCAAGAGTCTCGAGCAAGTTTCTTGATCTCAGTAACACATCTAGCTACCCGATAGTGTTATCTGATGGAGTGGGAATTGTTATCTTATTATAAACATTTTATAGGATACAATCTTCGAATAAACCGCAAGCCTAGACTTTCTATGTAAGTTACCCCCAACTAAACCATTTTTCTCACTTTTTACCCCAAAATATGCTTTCTTAGCAAATACCTCCAACCCAAAATAAAAGTCTAAACTACCCTCCATTACTTTTACCCATTTCTCTCTCTCCTCTTTCCCACGAAAAGGCGGTAAGGAGTATTCTTAGGGCGGTTTGGCAGTGTAATGTCAATCTAGTAAATAGCAGTGGCGGTCTGGTACTGACAAAAAATGGTTCGACAATAGGCCCATGCAGTTTGGCACAACCAAAGGGCGGTTTGATAATGGGCCCATGCATTTGGCAGCAGGACCCTACAGTCCAGCAACAGGCCCAAAGTGTGGTCTGACAATGTCAAAGAGCGGTCTGGCAGTTTTTTTAGTTTAATGGGGTCCAGTAATATCAAAGAGCGGTCCGACAGCCCATGTAAGCCCACGTGAATGTCTGGTTAAAATTAAATTTTTATGTATGAAATAGGGTATTTTTGTCAAAAAATGTACCGTTTTTTTACTTGCTAGAAAGTGTATTTTGAAGAAAAAAAAGTGAGAAGAAAAGTTTGGTTGGGGATAATTTGCATAGAAAGTCTAGTTTTCCCACACTTTTTTCAAAAACACCTTAATAAAAGAAAAAGACACGATTTCTATGCGGCCAACCTGCATATTGTAGAAATGCAGGCTTGGCAATAAATATATTTTTTAAATATAATTTGATCCTAAGTTTTAGAGAATATATAAT